GCTATCATGTCTCCCTTGGTCTTTCTTTCTATTAAACTAGACATACCCAGTTCCTGCAACCGTTCTTCATATGTTTTAGCCTCCAGCCCCCTAATCCTCTTTGTTGCTCTTCTCTGCACTCTTTCTAGAGTCTCCACATCTTTTCTACATCGTGGCGACCAAAACTGGATGCCGTATTCCAAGTGTGGCCTTCCCAAGGCATTTATCAAGTGGTATTAACCCTTCACATGATCTTCATAATACTCCCTCGATTCCACGACTTAAGGGGGCAATTTCCCAGCCACAGGAGGCATTGCTGCCTGTGCAGCCTGACAGCGAGAAAACCTTGCAGCCAGCAGGGACCCCGCAGCATAACCAAGACTCCCTCCCCCATTATCCCCTGCCTCCAAGTCACTGAAAGAAGACAAGAGAGCCTCAACAACAACAACAACGAGATGTTGGCTATATTTTATTGGCTTGTTTGCTTGGAAAAAGAAAAAGTTTCCCGCGCAGCCATTTTCTTCTTGGAGCAACTACACAGCTATGTTGTTGCCTGTGCTTTTGGGACACAGCTGCTTTTGTGGTTTGGGGACTGATGGGGGAGCAGGAGATGTCACATTAACGCTGGCAGGGGAGTTTAGAGGTAGTCCTCGAACTTACAGCCATGCGTTTTCAGTGACCGTTGAAAGTTACAACACTAGAATAAGGTGACTTATGACTGCTTTTTACACTTACGACAGTTGCAGTGTCCCCCATGGCCACAGGATCAGAATTCGGACGCTTGGCAACTGACTCGCGTTTACAACGGTTGCGGTGTCCCCGGGGACAAGCGATCACGTTTTGTGACCTTCTGACACCAAGCCAGTGTTTCTCAACCTTGGCGGCTTTAAGTCCCGTGGACTTCAACTCCCAGAATCCCCCAGCCAGCTATGGATTCTGGGAGTTGAAGTCCACGGGACTTAAAGGTCACCAAGGTTGAGAAACACTGCACCAAGCTCACTCAACGGGGAAAGCCAGAAGCGTTTAATAACCGTGCTACTCATTTAACAACCGCAGTGAGTCATTTAACAACCATGGCAAGGAAGGTTGCAACATGGGGGCAAGACTCACTTAATAACCGTCTTGCTTAGCCACGGAAAATTTGGGCTCAAGTCAAGGACTCACCTGTAAGGAGGGGGTTGGTGGAGGGATTTTTTCATGGGGTCTAGAAATGCAGCTGTGCAGCTCAGGACATTATTTTTATCCATTAAAAAAAAAAACATACAAGCAAGCCCCCCAAAAACTCACTGAGTGTCGCACTCAGCCTGCAAAAGATTGTCCCACCATCACTGGAATCTGGGTCAAATTTGCACAGTTTTGGTCAAATTTGCACAGTGGATGTGTCAGCCAGCCTCCGGCGACTTTTTTCCAAGCTGCATTTTCTCTGTGACCACCCCCCCACAGCACGTAGGTCCTTATGTCCAGTTACAGAATGCCTGGGGAGGGTCACCGCTGACGGCTGGGAAAAGTTCAGGGGTCAAAAACCCGTTGCTGTCCATCAGCCGTCCTATTGCTCTTTTGACAGGTCTTAATCATTTGAAGATGTCCAGCTTGGTGGGCGAAATGCCTCCGCGTCCTGTGGGTTGAGGAGGAGGAGGAGGAGGAGGAAGAGGAAGTGGCATGGGTCCCTTCCTCGCTCGGGAGTCTCCTGGAGGAATCTGACTTGATCACAGTGAGAAGAAAAATGCTGCCGGCCTAAGTTGACCCATCTAGGAAAGCTCTTTCGGGTGTGCCATGCTTCCGGATTTCAAGGAATCCTCGCGAATTACTCCACAGCCTTTTCCGAGAAGAATGGAGAACGTATGGGGATGATCAACGCGGTGAGGGCCGAACACGTCCCAGGGATAACCACGAGGTCATAACTCTCGCTGAACATTAAGTTCAGCTATAACTCGAACGAAGCTTAGATCTGACTGTCTGTCAGGTTTCCTAAAAATGCCCGAATTGATTCATGAGTATCGAGCCAAGTTTCAAAACAAAACCAGTCATTTATTAGGAGCACCAATAGGCAAGGCCTTTCCGCAGTCAGATCTGAGCTTTGTTTGAGTTATGGCTGAACTTCACCCCTGTTCCTTCCCTCCCCTCAGTCTGTGTCATAAATCACATTCCCCAATGAGGTGCACCCCTCCCAAGCCTGCTGGAGTAATCTGAGGTCCGACTTTAGCCGAAAGTATGCGTAGAATGCGCTCCCCGCCCTTCTCTCCTAAGGGCAACATTAGGAGTTGACACACGAGTCCCGTCTGCAACCTGTGGGATGGTGCACCGCAGGTCACAGGTACCTCCACTCAAGGCCCTGAACTTAAGCAGAGTTAAGCGGTAGGAGGAAGTCAACAAAACCGCTCCATTGTGGGGGAAGGCAGTCCGCTCACCCCAACTTCCGTAGCTCCACTCAGCAGTGAATTTCGTACGCTACCTGAGGCTGGAGCATCAGCCCCTGGTTCGCAAAGAGCTCGCTGCCTTCTTGGGGGGCCTCCTCTTCTCCTTCCAGAGTCTGAGTCGCCTGGTCTTGCAGCTGCTCCGGGAAGACCCCGCCTGCCAGGCCTTCGGGGTCCTTGTAGGTGGCGAAGAGGGGCTTGTTGCGGTCGATGACGAACATTTCGTGGCCCCTCTCGTCTCGGTACTCCTCCAGCTGGGCGAAGGTGGTGGGCCCGTCCGAGTAGTCGTTGACGTACAGGATGTTCTCCTCCTTCTTGGCCTTTTTCCGCTTGCGGTGCTTCCGGTAGATCATGATGACCAACAGGAGGGCCACCAGGGCCAGCAGGGAGATGGCCACGGCGATGGCCGTCTGCGTGGCCATGCCCAGGGCGTGGAAGTCCATGCTCTCCATGTCGTAGAGAGGTTCCTGGCTGATGTCCACCGAAGCCGGGTAGCCCTGCGACTGTTGTTGCTGGTGCGAGAGGTTCACCATGAGGTGGAAGACCACCCGGGCCATCCCCCCGGGATTGGAGGCCTCGCACTCGTATTTCCCGCCATGGGACACCGTCACGTTGTTGAGGAACAGCATGCCGCTGCCGGTGTCCGACTGCTCGAAGCGTTCCCCGATGCTGCGCTCCCTCAGCTCAAAGCTTCCGCTGGGCAGGTGGGTCCGGCTTCCCCTGGAGCCCCCGGCCCGCCAGTGGGCCAGTTTGCGCCAGGTCACCAGCGGCTGCGGGTAGCCCGAGGCCTGGCAGGAGACGCGCAGGTCGTCGCCCAGCCGTGCCGTGACTTCGAGGGGTTGCACTTGCACGACCGGCGGGATGCAGATCAAGCTGTTGCCGGAGACGTCGGCGAGGCTTTGGTAGGCCAGGCGTGGCGGCTCCGAACACTCGATCTTCTTGTCCTGGGGGCTCAGGAGCCTCTGGCCTTCCTCTCGGATCCAGCTGCTGAGCCAGTGCAGAGCGCAGTCGCATCGCCATGGATTGTCTGCAGGGGGAACCAAGTATATCCATCAACAATAGGTCACTGGAGGTTTTTAAGGAAAGATTGGACAGCCCCTTGTCTGGAATGGTATAGGGTCGATCCCCAAGGTCCCTTCTGGTTCTATTCTGATTGAAATGGCATAGGGTCTCCTGACTGAGCAGGGGGGGTGGACTAAAAGACCTCCAAGGTCCCTTCCAGCTCTATTCTGATTGAAATGGCATAGGGTCTCCTGACTGAGCAGGGGGTTGGACTAGAAGACCTCCAAGGTCCCTTCCAGCTCTATTCTGATTGAAATGGCATAGGGTCTCTTGACTGAGCAGGGGGCTGGACTAGAAGACCTCCAAGGTCCCTTCCAGCTCTATTCTGATTGAAATGGCATAGAGTCTCCTGCTTGAGCAGGGGGCTGGACTAGAAGACCTCCAAGGTCCCTTCCAGCTCTATTCTGATTGAAATGGCATAGAGTCTCCTGCTTGAGCAGTGGGTTGAACTAGAAGACCTCCAAGGTCC